AAAAGTAAGAAAATTGCTGCCAGCCACGTCGGCCATCCATCTCTTGGGCTCAGAGCGCGCGCGCCCGGCACACAATGCAACACCACACACGCAAGTAGTGTCTGAAGTGAAACACAGGAAAAGGAAGCTAGCCGCGAGCCGCGGCTGGTGACTGATATAATATGTGCGAGTTTGTTGTTTGCGCTTTGCGCGCAATATAAACTAAAGCAATTAATCATTGCGAGCGTAATAAACCAGCCGAAACGCGAATGGTGCACGGATAGTTCTTCACAAAGGTGTAATACAACTGATGGAGCGTTTCTATCCACTCAGATAACGAAAATATTAATTTAAAAAAATTTATCTAAAAATAAATCCTGGATTTTTATTGTGTGTGTATAGATTTGATAAGTATTTTTGTTTATTGCGGAAGCGAAGTAAAATTTTGCACGTACATTGCATGTGTGCGGTAATAAAACGTCGAGTCGATTTGAATTTAGTGGGATTGCGAGCACGCGCCTCAAACGTACACGACAGTTTGCAATAAACTTGTTTTAATAGGATACGTTTTTATTGCGCGAATGGAGTTTACCGCCCCGGCGATTGCATCTAAATTCGCAATGAAATTGTTTTCGCGTTTCGGATTTAAATAACCGACGCGTGTAAACGCGCACGACACGTTCGAGCCTGGTCAGCTACGCCCATTTAATATTGATAAATTTTCAAAATTGGTTTTCCCGCAAACGCGCACAGACACATTTTTCCTAGATTCGATTAAGTGCTTTTATTTATTTTGCCCACCAACAAAAAATTAATTTGATTTTTCTTAGAAAAAATTAATTAAAATTTTTACAGTTTTTGAATATTTTTTACTAGTTTTATAAACCGGAAAACCGGAAACTCATGTTCTTAAGTAAATTATTTTATGATGCATCTATTTCCGGAAAAAATTAATTAAAATTTTGATACATTTTTTCAGTTTTTGAATATTTTTAATAAGTTTTTAGCTCAAAAATCGGTAAAAAATACAAAACTACTAAAAATTATTTTGTTGTTTGTTTAGTTTTAAACAAACTATAAAACCGGAAAACCGGAAAACCAAGCGCTATCTACAAAATTACTTTATCCTGCATGTATTCAAGGAAAAAAAAAATTAATCAAAATTTGTTTTGATCGGTTGATTTTTTCAGTTCTAGAATATTTTAAATCTTTGTTTTAAATTCAGTAAAAACATGAGAAACCATCAAAATACGTTGTTTTTTTTTTTTTTTGTTTTGTTACAAACAATAAAACCGGAAAACCGGAAAACTAATATCTATCTACAAAATCATTTAATTCTGCATCTATTTCCGGAAAACAATTAATTAAAACTAGTTTCAATAGGTTTTTATTCTAGACTTAGAATAAAGTATTCTGTTAAAATTAATTTACCGATTTTCTTCTATTTTTAACTGCTTTGGCAAAAAAATCAGCGCAACAAATAAGATTCCGTAAGTTGTAAGTCGTAAGTGTAAGCAATTCGGTAAGCAGTTACTTCCATTCGTCGAGTCGTAGATCTTTCGAGGTTGACTCCACAGTTGTTGTAATTCAGCCGGGGCCAAGGCGCAGTATCACTGCAGTTTGCCATAAATCGAGTCGCGCTTTTACACCCCCAATTCGTTCGGCGCGCAACACACTTAAACTCTCTCAGCCTTATAGAGAAATAGCGAAAACGTAATTCTAGCTCCTTAACTATTCGATATCCTCTTTGCGCGCACGCCGCCAAACTTCCACCAGCAAGTGGCTAGTAATAGGGGCTGGCGAAAAAGTTTGAGTATTTACTGTTTCCCCTTTTTATATTTATGTACGCGACGATACTAGCGACTATATAGAAACAGAGACTTAGAAAAGACTCGCCGTTTGTATTTCCAAAGGGGAGGAACTCCGGTTTATCGGTTTTTAAAAGAACACTAAAAATGTATAAAAAGACGATTCGCAAACGGCAAATGTAAACGATATGGCAAAACGATACAACCAGGCCCTTAAAAGCTGCGCGCGGGAGTAAGGAATTAGAAAAACAAAAAGAAAAAGAAAAGTTGCGTCGGGAATAGCGGCGAGCAAAGGCAATGAAAAGGAAAAAAAACGAGTTTTTATGGCCCCGACCAACGCAAGCCACCCTCACCCACTACCACCCTCAGTACCCTTAGATTTTTTCGCGCAAAAAAGCTCCAAAGCTCCCGGAGAAGAAAAATATTGGCTGTCGAATCAAAGTGAAGAGATTCTTATGAAATGCATAGTCCCACCCTATGTTGCCTGGCGCCTCCACCAACAAACCATAACCCACACATCAATAAAAAGCTCTGGAGTATGAGGTGTGTAGGTGTGGCGTGTGAGGGTCGTAATGATAAATGAACACGTTTAATAGTTCTCGCATTACATTCGATCTTTGGAGCGGCGGGGCGCCGGAGCTTTCACGGAGGGCAAAAAATGCGCTAAGTGGCTAGGCTGACTGGGAGTCAAGCCTTCGGGGGAATCAGGGATCAACCCCAAACACATTCTAAGCTTCATCGTCTTTAACGCTTTACAATTCAAGCTCCACCGAAAATAAAAAATCCAGGACATCATTAAAGGACGATTTTTTTCTGGGTTTTCCGTTGGGGAAAATTATTCAATTTGTAGTGTTAAATTTCATGATGTGTTGCAAAATGTGATATACTTGAAATGATGATACGGCAGGACGAAGTGCATTTGGTGTGTCAACCGAAGCCGCCGCCGACGTTGGGAGTTTAGTGAGGACTCGTTACGCCGTCACGTCCTTTAGACGAAGGAAGAATGGAGAGCACTCGAGGAAAACGAGTGTGTGCACTGAACGCTCGTGTCTCGTGCGATTTATTACACGAAGGGGTGGAAAACAATTCAACATAACAACATATCCACAACCCCTCTGCGATTTTATCGAATCCCTAAATAATGGTTATCAATTTTCTTCCTTCATTCTTTCAAAATACACAAACACAAACACAAAATAAAATAAAAATAAAACATCTTGAAGTTTTCAAGTTTTCAGTTTGCTGCAATCTGATAAGCCGATTTGGAAACTCGTCCTGCATGCGTCCACTGTGTCCACTGCCTAAGAAGCTGATTATTAACACTACGCGCCAGCATCTCTGGACGTGTCCCTCGTTTAACTCGAAACACTTGCGCTGATGCAAGCGGCCCACGACTGTTTCCCAATAATCCCCGAGGCGGAGGCGCCGGGCAGCGTCCACTCTACTTTCCGCACACGCCGAAATCCCTTGCAGCAGCGCAGCCTGCTTACTTTCCAACACACAGTAGCTGTACACCTCTACTGTTAGAAAAGGAGCGCAATTTCATTTGTGCCCTGCTGGGGCGGCGCCGGAGGTGGGGGTTTTCCATCGCCGGCGCTCAAACCTAACTCAACTCCCACGAGCGGTAATCTCACATAATCTTTCCTATTATCAGCCGCCCCCATGCGAGCTCATCTTTTATTTAATGTTTTTCGCCTTCGAGATCATTACGCCCGATATATCCAACCTTTTTCCGGCTCATAATAAACAATATAAATATTTTTTTCACTAGGCAACACTTTCTTTACCGAGTATATAAATTTATGATAATTTTCTACAAACCGGAAAACCGGAAAATTTATTAAAAATTATTTAAAAAACATAAAATTAAATTTATTTATTTTTTAATTTGACAATATGTACACTTTGATGAGTAAATTTGTGTATTGACAAAGTGTTAATTGAAATCGAAGCTTTTCGATGATGTGTTAATGCCGGAGTGCGTTTCGATGATTCGCGCGCGTTGAGCACTTGACGTTATGGTAATTGATTTATTGAAGGATTTGACCAATTTTCGAACGTGTTAATGCGCCGCCCCCGCTTGCTTCTAATCGAATCCGACGAGCGGCAGCAAGCCAAATTGCATCGCATTGTGTTTCGTCCGCGAGGAAATTCTCGTTGACCAAACTTTAATTAATTTCATATTGTTTCAGCGGCGGGGGTGGAAAACGCGCCACCCACTAAACGCCAAACAATTTACGCCACGCGAAGAATTTAAATTAATTAATTTGTTACCTCATAATAATTAACGTGCACAACTAATAATCAACTGAATATTTATATTTTTTTTTGGCGGAAAAATTTTCGGGAAAAACAAAAGTTTTTTTGTTTTGGAAAACTAATTCGCAACACAATATGGCCGCGTTAACTTTCGAATTAAACTTTTCAAATGTTTTAATTGCTTGCGTGCGGCGCCTCCACCAACATTACCCTATTTATTTTTATTTCTTGTTTTGCACAATAAAAATAATGATTAATTAGACTCGTGTTTAAAATACAATAAATTTTCTTATAATTCACTAGTTGAATAAAGTATAGTATTATATATCTAAGCTGCTGTCACAATGTAAATTTATTTACTGCATTTGTCTGTTTCTATTTATCACGATGAGTCGACGCCGCCCCAAAGACAGGGTGGTAACTGTCGTGCGGAATTTACCGTTTTACCATCGTGGAGGCGGCACTCGACTTGACTCGATGCGCGTGTCTTACACGAAAATCGCGCCGAATTGAGATAGCAGGATCAGATATCGCAATAAATTACTCGGACAGTTAGTTATTTAGGCCCGAAGACAAATCGCGCGCGCACAAACAAAATGTTTTCACAAAGGAAGCAATCAAACAGTATTCAACTACTTACCGCCCCCACAGCTAGTTGTAAATTGACGGAATAATTCTCGTTCGTGTTCGCATCGTCTTAATCACGCACGCCGGGGGGCGGCAGACGTTCGCTCGTCAAAAGTACGCGCCGTAAAAAATAAATATACACAAAAAACCCACGCCTTCCGGTAAATTATTCTTTCGTTTGACGTTTGAGAGAAGCGAAAGGGTGAGGTTTAGTTAAAATGAGCTTTCATGGAAACTTGCGCGAGTGGAGTAAATTAGCGTTTGCATACAAATCGCATTATTTTTGGCGCGCATGCGCGTCAAAAATATCATATTACCAAGACTTACCTTGTATTTTCCTAGATTACTGACCGAACAGGTCAGGATGGCTTCGCGACCCACCGGCATGGTTAAATTATGCATTGGCGCGAAATTCGGGCTCATCCCACGCGTACTTGGTGGTGGCAGAGTCTTCTGCAACAAAAATACAGAAATATACACATCAGAGATCACAAAAAGCTCCAACCCTCATCAGAAACAGAAACACCAACATTTTATCATCGTTTTTTTTTAAACTGTGGGTGTGTGTGTGCAAAGGGATGTTTTTAATTTAATATGCATTAGTTGCGAGTTTCACCTCGCGAGATGGCAGCAGACGCATGATTTATTCATAAAAGAAACTACGTTTCCGAGCTTTGCATATTAAAAGCATTAAAACTGTGTGTTAAACTTTCGACAATGACACCGACGAATGTATAATGCATTGTTCATCGCATTCTGCAACCCAATGCACACTACTAGTGTTCATTAGCGCGTCGCGCATGCGTATTACACCAGTGGGCGGAGCAAGCTGTAACATTTTCGTCTTTATTTAAACGATTCGCAAAACTTTTCGAAAATATAAAACCGGAAACTAATATATAACTTATAATAAGGTTTAAACAAAGTTCCGGAATCGAAATATATCCGTATAGAGTAAAAGCTCTCCCGGCTGCGAATAGTTGAGACATTGTGCCACCGCTTGCCGCCAACTGCCGCACACAGAAATAACTTCCGGAAAGCCGGAGCGAAATCAAATGGCTTGTATTATTGGCCATAACATTTCGTCCGGAGAATAGAGGTGTGTGAGCGCCAAGTGCCAGTTTGGAAGTGCCAACTTTTTTTCTCCACGCCGAGCTTTCACTTCTTATAGAATCGAGACGATGTCAAACCGGAAACTCTTAGGGATATGTTTCGCAGCTCGTGCTCGCGTCTATTATGCGGACGTGTGTATGCAACGGCGATCGTAAAATCGAGGGTGTGCAAACTTGTTCGCCATCCTTTCATCCCTGAAATAAGGGTTGGGGCGGTAGAAAAATACTTTACGGTTCATAAACTTCCGGTTTGGTAATATTGACACTGATTCACGTGTTAAATATTGACGGATCGCACTGTCATTATATAGTTTATGCACGAGCTGTCAAACAAACTCGTCGTAAAAGCTCAAAAGCTCCAGAGCTTTATTTATGTTGAGATTTACTTAAGAACATGCTTACATAAACTTTATATTTCAATAACTTACTAGATATCTAAAAATTTACAAAACCGGAAAACCGGAAATGTGCAAAATTCAACCGGGAAAAGGGCGTTAATCGCAATTAACGATATATCACGCGCGATTGACATGTCAATTTAGCATTTTGCGCGTTGCGCGTTGCACAAATCAAATTTATGCAATTTAATTACGACACTTTTCTATTTCTACAGCTGCCAGTTCAATTGGCAATTTTGCGCACGCGGATTCAATTGTTAATTTCAATTATATTATTAATTATGCACTGAGTGATCGAATTAGTTGTCAGGACAACATTTAACGTTTAGAATAATATTGCGCACTTACCAGCGGTAACAAGGTAGGCAAATCAATATGGTGTGTAATTCGCGTGTAAATTACGCGCATGCGCGTCAAAAATATAGACAATAGACGAAGAAATACTCGCAATAAAACGTCGTGCCGAACGCATCGGACCGCATTGTAGAGTAATTAGTAAATGTGCACCCCCCTGCCGCCCCCTGGTATACACAGGGGCTGGTAGCGTCGGGGCGCACTCGGCGTCGCTCAATAATTAAGCGCGGTTGTCTGATTGTTTGCTATTTCGAAGTGATTCTGAGCGATTTCAAACCAAAGCGGAAACACGGAAACACGGAAGTACGCAAATACGGAAATCGCATTATGTAAATTGCTAATATGTATTTTACGACCACAAAACAACTTAAACAGGGTAAATGTGTAATGAGTAATTAGAAAAAATGAGTAATTAGTATTTCATCCCTTAAAATGTGCATTTTGAAGCAAATTTGAGTTTGTAAGGGGGATATTTGTTAGTTGAGGTTGGTTAGGGGTTGTTTAGGGGTTGTTTACGTGTACGCCATTAGCATATGCACACAATTGTCGGCAAGGCGGAAAATCGACGCGTCGGTAATGAACAAGGTGTCTACGACACATTTTCCACCCCTATTTTATTTCTCAAAAGGGTAAAAATGTAAATTTCCGCTAACGCTGCACTCTAACAACTCAACAACAAATTTTTTCATCAATTTATCGCTTTCAATTAATAATGTCATTGTAAAAGTTGAAAGAAGCTTCCCGGAAGCCCGGAAGTTAAGGCGGGTCATAAATATAAACCAAAGTTCAATGGTCCGATGAGATTTTTTTATTTTCATCGGAAACGGATTGCATTACGAGGTGCGAGCGGGTAGAAAAAGCCGGCTTGCCCGGCGCCTCCACAATTTTTATCGCTTCGGATGGGATAAAGTAAATATAAATTTGTCGCGCACGCGTGAGCGTATAATCCCCCAAAGGGTATGTACGATTAAGCGCTTTTAGGACTCGTGTGCCCGCCCCCGGCATCGCAATAATAGTTTACATGCAAATTTTTATATCTACGATATTCATGCGAGCGCGCTCGGAGCTTTTCGGTACGAGGCATATGTCTACGATTCGGAAAAGGCGTAATTGCCGCTTCCGATTTGCCTTGGAGTCAGTGCGCTGTGGGGGCGGCAATGTATCGCTGCATTTGCATAAAAAGTTGTCCCTTGTTTCCGGACCAATCTCAAGTTTTATTTTATTTTTTTGTTAATAAATACAGATTGTTGTAAAAAAGCTTTAAATTTTTGTAAAAATGAATAATTATTATATAAAGGATTAAATTTAAGTATAAGTGTCGTTATCCTTATGTCCTGTATTCTGAAAAGAGTGGTATTGCCGCCACCGCTGCCGCCACCGTTGTTAACGCTATTATGACAGTCATTGCCCCACTCACCCTCGCGTCCTGAGGTTTTGCGTCGAAAGATGAGAAGAATATCACATACAACTTGTCTACTTGCCGGCGCCGCCGCCCCCGTTGACAATATTTCGAGTGTTACACTGTTGTGTTGCGGCTTGCCGGAGGCGGGCGCGGCCCCGACTCTCGTTATGGCCGCTCGGACGCGGGCAGTTAAAATAACGACGCCGACGTTGGTTACTTATGTCCTCGAGGGTAACATGTACAGATAACGTATGCTCAGATGCAACTAAATATCAAAACAAAGAAGCAACCAAAATTGCAAACTTCAGTTGCAAATTTTAATCATATGTATTTAATTTTGTATTTTGGGGCTATTTAAATATAAATATTAATTATTACTAATTTAATTTATGTGAATATTTAATATGTAATAATTAAAATTGCCTTCTGGCGCAATAAACAATTAAATTAAACAATTAATAATTAATATGCTTACCAATCACTTGTGATCGATCATAAAACTCCATGCTGCGTCCGAATCCGTCCTTCTGCTCACCTAGAAGCAAGAAGAAAAGTTGGTTAAAACATAAATTAACGTCACTTCCGGTTTGTGTTATATTTAACTTGATACACTTGCGTTATAATCTTCGCAAAGTACTTTTACGCAAAAAACAACTTTCTAAGTAGTTTATTTTTTTTAATTCGTACATGAAAAACTTTCATCTGTCGATGACTTTCTTCCGGGTGGAAATCAAAAATAACTATTTTGTTTTACTTTTTAACGTTTTTTTGCATAGTCACATAGTTGCAGTCGAAACTAAAGTTGCAAACTAATGTTTTAGTTGTAGTTGTAGTTGAAGTAAAAGTTTTTGTGTGCTTTTTTTTAGTTGGGGATTAATTTGTAGTAGTGTGTGGCAACTTTTCCGGTGAGTGGCTGTGCACTCCTTGAAACTTGCTTGACTTTCGCAACTTTTCGCGAGGACGCTTCATATTTTGCGACTTTGTTGATTCTTCTCTTCTCGGATTAGACGGGAAGCATGAAAGTCGAGGGGTTTTCAAATATCCGGAACCGGAAACTTTCAATTTCAGAATTTCTGAATGTCAGATTAAAATAGAGTTTTGTGTAAAAATAATATTTAGGCAAGAAAAATTAATTTTTTGAAAAAATTTCGCAAAATTTTAAATTTTTGCAAAACCAGAAAAATAAAATTTAAAAATAAAATTTGTTATTTATAAACTATGACATATTAACTAACTTCTTGGCAAAATTTTACAAAAATCTTAATTTTTTGGCAAAAACAAATTTTTCGTAAGAAATTTAGCAAAATTTTAATTTTTGCAAGAAAAACTTAAAATTTTTAAATTTCCAACAACAGTAATGTTTTATATTAATTAATTAAACATATTTACATAAGTAAAACCAATATTTAAATAAATTTTGTAATTTTTCAATTTTTTTTTGCAAAAAAAATTTTTCCTTTTCCCCAGAATAATAATTATATGCTAAATTTTGTGTTAACGTCTTTTCATGCACATGCAGAAAGTTTAATGCAGTCATTACGAGCACGAGCTAAAATCCTCCGCATGCGCACGCAAATGGCGCCTGTATATTCATAAAATATTATTACAAGATAATGCCGCTTCGTTTAACACACAAACCGATAATTTAACGCCGTCGCCACGACCCTCACATGCTGCGCATTTCGCGCGCGTGATTTCCACGCCGAAAACAAAACGAAATAAAACGCGCGTATAAAACACGCGTCACTACCCCACTGTATATATACACGTACGCGTAAAACAAACGCGAAACTTCGCGAAACCAAACGCGTAAATGTAAATAGATGTTGCGATGTGATGCGCACCAAAGATATGTCAATTTCGTACGTTATACTCCGTGGAAAAAACTCACACCGCCTTTTTATTAGCACGCATAAAATCGAAATTTATGCGATACGCAGTAAAAACAAAGCGGTGAAAGAAATCGATATTTTTTGCCCGGCGCCTCCACAATATTTATCCAACGTTTAGTAAAACTTAAACTAAAACTTGAAATTTAGTTGCGTACAGATATAAAAATGCAATTTAGTTGTGGTGTCATTAAAAAGTTGCCCGTTTAATATCTCTAAGTAAACCTTTCGCAGAGTGTCACCGTGC